ACTTTTAAATGCTATGCCCGAATCCTATAGAGATGTTATGAATGCTATCACATATGCTAGGGATACTTTGACCCAAGATATTGCGACTGATGCTTTGAGGGCTAGTGAGCTAGAGCTTAAGAAAGAGTCGAGGAGTAGCTCAAGTGAAGAAAGTTTATTTGTTAGAGGAAAGAATGATATGAGGGAGAACTACTTTCAAAGTAAGATGGGCAGAAGAAAATCGAAGGGTAGGTCCAAGTCTAGAGATAAGAGTGGTAAGAAATGCTTTCATTGTGGGCAGTTGGGGGCATTTCAAGAGAGATTGTAATGACCTTAAGAAAAAAGAAAGACCGCAACAGAGTGATAATCAGAACTTAGTTGCTGTAGGTGATTCCCTTGAGTGTCTACATGTTATGACCATGTCGGGAGATTTTGACACGAATGTAGATCATGCCGTGATAACATACATGTCATGAATGTTTCTAATGTTGATTTTAACACTAAGTGGATTCTAGACTCAGGTGCTACTGTTCATATGTGTCTCGTTAAGTCTTGTTTCTATAACTATAGAGATGTGAATCCTAGAAAAGTATACTTGGGGGATGATCGTACACACAATGTGGAGGAAGTAGGTGATATTGCTATTAGGATGCATGATGGAATTATTAGACCCCTTAGAGGTGTTAGATATGTCCCGGGCCTGGTAAGGAATCTCATTTCCTTAGGCACTCTAGAAGAAGAAGGTTATGAGTTCAAATCTCGTGTTGGTACTTTTAATATTTGCAAAAGGTCTCTAGTAGTTATGAAAGGTCCCAAGAAGAATGGACTATATGTCCTTCAAGGTGAAGTCTTGGGTAACAAAGAGTCTGCATTATCTTCTGTCTGTGAAGATAAATCAGATCTTTGACACAAGATGATGGGACATATTGGGAACAAATGGTTGAAATATCTTAGTGACCAAAATTTACTTGGTAAGGATAATGTTACACCTTTAAGCTTTTGCGAGACATGTGTTCTAGGAAAGTCAACACAAGGTTAGCTTTGGGATAGGTGAACACAACACTAAGAGACCATTGGACTACATTCATGCAGATTTGTAGGGTCCAGAAAAACATCCCACACATGGAGGGAACATGTTTTTTCTGTCCATTGTTGATGACGATTCGAGGAAAGTCTGGGTGTATCTCCTTAAATCCAAATCTGAAACTTTTAGTAAGTTTAAGTCCTGGCTTGCCTTAGTTGAAAATCAAATGGGAAATGGTGTGCAAACTTTTAGGATGGACAATGATTTAGAGTTTTGCAACTTTGAATTTGATAATCTTTGCAAGGGAAAGTGTATAATGAGGCACATGACTGTTAGACATGCCCCCCCAACAAAATGGGGTGGCGGAGAGGATTAATCGAACTTTAATGGATAAAGTTAGATGTGTGATGATTAGTTCGGGTTCTCTAAAGGTTTTTAGGGTGAAGCCGTGTGTACTGTTGCTAATTTGATAAATAGGTCACCTTCTAGTTCTGTTAACTTCAAGACTCCTCAAGAGTTGTGGTCTGGAAAAATCCTATAATTACCACGAGACCGGACCTTGTATATACAGTTAGTTTCTTGAGTAGGTTTATGTCAAACCCAGGTAACTCTCATTGGACTGCACTTAAATGGCTATTAAGATACCTTATTGGAACTTGAAAAAATGGGTTAGTGTTTAAAAAGAGAAGTGATAATTTAAAGCTAAAAGACTATGTAGATTCTGACTTTGCGGGGGGATAAAGATCAGAGAAAATCTACCACTTCTTACTTCTTCACTTTAGGTGATAACTGTATCACTTGGAAATGACAGTTGCAATCTATAGTTACACTTTCTAGCACAGAAGCAGAATATGTTGCATTAAGTGAAGTTATAAAAGAATGTATGTGATTGAAAGGCCTTCTATGTGAATTAAACTTCTTAAATGATAATGCCATGATTTATACTGATAGTCAAAGTTCATTAATATTGTGTCAATATCCTATTTATCACGAACGTTTAAAGCATATTGAGGTGAAGTATCACTTCATTAGGGATAAGTTAGCTTCTGATAATTTTATTTTGCTTAAAATAGCAACTGATGATAACCCCTGCACATGTTGGAACAAAAGTACTTGCGGTTGGTAAGTTCAACAAATGTTTATCAATATTGAGTATTGATAATGGTTAATTGTCGTGCAGGTACTGAGCTGGAGTAGGCGATGATTATAAAAATAAGACCATACTATGTGATAACACTTATAACTGGGAAATTTGGCGGTGGATTATATGTGATCCAATGTGAAGATTTGTAAGGTGGATCACCTATATCCACATGGCACATTATTACTTGTCTTGAGCACTTTGAAAGAATTGTGCTAGTTGAGGTGTATTATGGACCATAGATTAAATCCAACCATTGGATTTAATCTTGTGATCAATTACACATTCTAGTCATGTCATTTTCATAGTACAATATTTGAATTTGAATTTTGAATTCAAATGAATATTTGGCTCTATAATACACAAGACTTCTTCATCTTTGGATTTGGATTTGGCATCACAAAAAGAGAGTAAGCATAGAGAGGTAACCAAGTGAGTGAACTTCATATCTCTGGCGTTCTTGGTGCCTTCCGGCGGATTTATTCTCGGTATATCCATTGTTATTCCCATGGACGACGGTGCATGATTCGGTGTGGCAAAAATCTGAGTTCAACTTCAAATGACACTCCATTGATAGTGTTGAACAAGCTTTGAGTAATATTGGTTCGGTTTTACACTTTAAGAGTTTATTTTTCTGCATTGTAGTTGTAATAATCATTTGTTCTCTACATTATAAACTCTAAAAATAAGTTAGTTTAAAAATATTGAAGTTCAAATAAATTGTAATTTATTTGTTTATTTCTTAAATCAAATTGAATTTGAATGAGGGATAATCACGCGTATCTAAGGAATGGATGTGAGATATTTTTTTTATTTGATTACACCATCACTATCAAGTATTCAGATTAGAGTCACCTTTTTTGTTGTGATAGATATTATGTACACATGTCATATTATGATTAATTTACTAAAAATCCAATTCTTATCAAATTTGATAAATACGATTTTCCATCCAAATTGTACCATGACTCAACCACTATATTTTTTTACTATAAATGGTGTACAATTGTCCCACAATTGACTACCAAAGAATTTTATACGACATCTTTCATACTAAGGAATTGTAAATTTCGAGTATATTTTTTTTTATCAAAAACTCGTTTGATCAATCAATGTAAGATACTTTTGTGCAAGTGGTTTATTTCCTTATATTTTTATATTCAGTAATTTATGCATGAATTGTCAGTGGACTTTCAGGTTCTTTATTAAAAGATATGAGATCCTACGGGAATTTAAGATGACCTAAGATGGGTGTGTCGCTTGGTCACCAATATACTTTATAAGAGAAGAGTGGTATAAAATATTTATTTTATTGTATATAATTGTGTATGGAAAATACACGTATCTTACTGAATATATTTTAAATACTCTTACAAAATTTTACAGGTTAGTTCGGGTCGATTGGAACAGTGACAGGATGGTGATGCGACTGCCAATAGGAATCGAAGAGATAAAATATTATGTTTATTTTTTTCTTCAAATTATTAGCCAGTTTAATCTGTTCAAGGACAATTATTTAATTTGTGATTATGTTTTCATTATGAATATTCCAATTATTTTTATTTANTTATTGTTGACTTTTATTAGACGAGTTTGAGCCAATAACGGCTATATTTTCAATTTTAATTGAATTAAAATCCCTCCCAAACAAGCTCTAAGTTTATTTTTTTCTTTAAATTATTAGTCAGTTTAATTTGTTCAAGGCAATTATTTAAATTGTGATTATATTTTCATTACGGATATTTCAATTATTTTTATTTACAGAATATTTTTTTTATTGTTTCGTGAAAATTAAATTTTTGATAACACTCTAGTATCTACGAAATTTACAGCACACACTAGTGACATCATTAGTGTTCAGCGAAGAAGTCAAAGGGTTGGCAACTGGATTGAATGGTGGAGCAGAAGCTGAAAGTTTACTTCCATTTGTTTCTACGGGTTTTTCCTGATTGCTTGAGCATGAAATATCTTCACCTCCATTGTCTTCTTTTGGGTCATCACAATCTAGTAGTGAGTTGTCAACAACAACTTTGTCTAGAGGTGTCAAGACGGACGGGTCGGCCAGACCCGTGATAACCGGCCCGGATCAACCCGGGACCGCGAGCCAACCCGTGACCCGAGCGGGCGGTTCATGGGTCAAGGAGGTGTGATCCGCAGGCTTCGCGGGTTGTACCTTCACGGGCCGCCGTTAACCCGCTGGCCCGTGAAATTTTTTTTTTTTTTAAATTTGAAAAGAAATGGGGGAGAGTTAATACTAAATTATAGTTAAGACTTAAGACTTAAGTAGGTGCCAACCTAGTTGAGATGTGCTTAAACTATAAATTATAATAAAAGTAGGTGCCAACTTAGTTGTGATGTACTTATACTATAAATATTTGATAATAGTAATTAGAAATTTTGTTATTTGTTTAAATTAAATTTAACTTTACAAAGTTATAAATAATTCATGTAACATTAAATTTGAATTCTATGTAAACATTTTTTGGTATAAATATGAATTTATCATTTTGTTCAATTCTTAGTTTACATTTAAAAAAATATATGTTTTGCTAAAAATATAAAAAATTCTATATTTTTATAATTTTATGTATACAATAATACGGGCCAAATCGGAACAAACCGCGACCCGCGCAACCCGTGACTCGCATGGGCTCGACCCGAATGGGTCAGTGGGCGGGCCTGAGTTGTAATCCAAAATTTGTGGGCCGACCCGGAACCCGTAGCGGGCGGGTTTTTTTTCACACGGGCCTTTACCGGGCTCAAATGTTGGCGGGCCGACCCGGCCCGGACAGGGGAGATACTTCAGCTGAAACTGACTTAAATGTTGCTTTATGCCTCATTGACACAACATCCTTTCTATAACCGATCTCTAAAACTTGAGTATTCGGAGTTTATCTTTAACTTGGCAAGATCAGGATGTCTTCTATTGAACTTTCTACCAGCACCATTCCCTGATCGTCCTTTTGAATTAGCTTCCTGCCACCCTTTACCAGAGTTTGTTTCTTGGACGGTCTCTCCATGATAGTAGTTAGCAATTTCAGAGGTCTTGAAGGATTTTTCAGAGGAGTTGGTGTCAGTCTTATCGTCAGCACTTGTGCATTCCTCTATGATCGCATAGATTTCCAAACTTTCAATGCTCATTTGTGATTTCAGTTCTTTCCTTGTGTTGCAGTTCATGGGATTTATCACCATCTGGGAAGTTAAAATTCTGAAGGAAATGAATCTGATCAGGTGATTATTTCATGGCCAATGGATCGTATTATATACATGAAGTTAGCTGCAAGGAATATTCTAGAAGTGAGTAAGCAAGAAACTAATTTATAGCCTCTACCAGCTGGCAAAACAAAATGGATTCTAATCCCTAAAAATCAGGAAATGCAATTGTGCTGATGTCCTTTTCCTTCAACTCGTAAGCTGGCTGGGAAACAATTCTAACTCCCCTTTTAAGGTGGAGTGTACTCAAGCACTCCAAGCTTGTCTCTAAGTAATTTGAACCTTGAATGTGACATAGGTTTCGTCAAAACATCTGCCATTTGATCCGAGGAAGGAATGTATCGAATTTTCAGTTGGTTCTCAAGTACCTTATCCCTTACGAAGTGTGCATCTAGTTCTATGTGTTTTGTACGAGCGTGATATACAGGATTAGATGCTAAGGCACTGGCACTTAGGTTGTCACACCATATGATAGGGACTGAGAACTGAGAAAATCCTAATTCATTCAACAAGGATTGAATCCAGGTTATCTCAGCAGTGCAGTGAGCCAAAGCTCTATATTCTGCCTCTGTGTTCGACCTAGCTACGACATGCTGTTTTTAGAACTCCATGATACTAAATTATCTCCAAGAAACACGCAATATCCAGCAGTCGATCTCCTATCATCTGGACAAGAGGCCCAGTCAGAATCTGCAAAGGCAGTTATCTCAAGGCTGTCATTCCTTTGGATGTTTAGTCCATAGCTTAGTGTATCCTTCAGGTATCTGAAGACCCTCTTAAGGGCTTTCCAATGTTCATCTGTTGGTGCCTGAAGGTACTGACTTAATCTATTCACAGCAAATGTTAAATCTGGTCTGGTGTGAATCAAGTACTGAAGTCCTCCTATAGCACTTCTGTAAAGAGTAGGGTCCTTCATCGATTTGCCTTCAGTTTTGGAGATTTTCTTTCCAACTGCCATAGGAGTGATGCTAGGCTTCAAGTTTTCATAACCAAAATGCCTCAGTAAATCAGTGGCATACCTAGTTTGCCTTAGGTGCAATCCAGCTGCCAATCCAGCTGCATCTCTTGTTACTTCAATTCCTAGAAACTGCCTTAGCTTCCCCATATCTTTAAGTGCAAAACTGTGATTAAGCTTGTCAATGAATTCTTGCAAGTGCTTGCCATTATTACCAATAATCACTATATCTTCCACATAGATCAAGGCAAACACGATGTCAGTTCCTTTAGCCAAGAAAAACAGAGAATTATCAGCTTTGGATTGCCTAAAATCCCACTCCAACAAGGGCTGTCTTAGTTTACCATCCCAGGCCCTAGGTGCCTGTTTTAGCCTGTACAGGGCTTTCTTGAGTTTCCACACGTGATTGGGATGACTTTTGTTTACAAACCCTTGTGGTTGATTCATGTAAACAACTTCATTTAGACTCCCGTTCAGGAAAGCATTATTCACGTCCACCTGTCTGATTTCCCAATTCTTTGATACGGTAAAAGTTAAGATGATTTTCAGTGCTGCAACCTTAATGACAGGGCTGAAAGTTTCACTAAAATCAACTCCAGGTGTTTGAAGATAGCCTTTAGCCACAAGTCTGGCTTTGTGTCTTGCAAGCTTCCCATTTTCATCAAATTTCAGCTTAAAGACCCATTTATTGCCTATGATCTTCATCCCAGCATCAGGTGGAACTAAGATCCAAGTGTCATTCTTTATGAAGGCATTGTATTCTTTTTCCATTGCACTCCTCCAACTAGTACTTGCTAATGCCTTATTAGCATCAGTAGGCTCAACTGCAACCAGTTCATCTAATACCTCACTTGCATAGACTTTTGGTTTAAAGATCCCAGCCTTACTTCTGGTAATCATTTGGTGTCCACGACACTCAGGTAAGTTCCTTTCTGGTGAAGGATTCTCAACTGCTACATTCTGAAGTTCAGTACTAACAGGTTGAGGCTTTGAGATTTCATTTCCTGCTACCACTTCATTATTCACATCATCACCTCTATCACCCCTACAAATTATAATTTCAGTGTCTCTAGTTACAAGATCAGGTGTAGAGGTTACCTCAGGAAGTATTGTAGTAGCTGCAGTTGCACTTTGAGAGGTGGTATGACTGATAGGATCAATGAAGGGCAGATAGTTAGTTCCAAGATCATAGGTCTGAGGTTCAACCTTTTTATTCAGGAAACCGATTTTGAATGGAAATTCAAACTCATTAAAAACAACATGTCTTGAAATGTAAACCCTGCCACTACTGCTTAGACACTTATAGCCTTTGTGGGTGTCACCATAGCCAAGGTAGACACACTTTTGAGAGTGGAAAGCAAACTTATGTTTCTGGTATGGTCTGAGGTATGGAAAGCAAGCACATCCAAATGTTCTGAGTTGTTTGTAGTCAAAGTCCTTATTAAATAGAGCTTTGTAGGGTGAATTGTGTTTCAAGATAGGGGTTGGTAGCCTGTTAATCAGATAAGTGGCTGCTTTAAAAGATTCCCACCAATAAAAGAGTGCCATTCGAGCCTGAGCCAAAAGTGTTAACCCAGTCTCTGTGATGTGCCTGTGTTTGCGTTCAGCTCTTCCGTTCTGAACTGAGGTATAGGGGCAGGAATGTCTAAGTTCTATACCACACTCAAGTGCCAATTTGTTAAAGTTTCTGAATTCCCCACCCCAATCAGACTGTAAGGTTTTAATTTTCTTATCTAGTTTATTTTCTACAAGTTTCTTGAACTGAGAAAAAATAGGTAAAGCGTCAGATTTCTGTTTCATAGGATAAATCCATGTATATCAGCTATGATCATCCATAAAGACTATATAGTATCTAAAACCTGAGGTTGAACTCACTGGGGCTGGGCCCCAGACATCTGTATGAATAAGCTCTAGTGGATTACTGGCATGAGACAACGATATGTTAAAGGGTAGAGTATGAGACTTTCCAATTTTGCAGGAGTCACAGAAACTTGGGAATTCATTATCTTTAAAGACTTGATTACAGGAATTAAAATCTTGACTCATAACATGATTTGAAGGGTGTCCAGGCCTTCTATGCCAAAGATCTAGTTCTGAAACTGAGTTCTGATAGTTAGACGACACTTTGTCATGACTCGATTTAATTGCATAACACTGATAGTTATTTGGGTGGAATGACTTGAGTGAGATTCTTTGTGGCTTGAGGAGTGGCAACTACAGCTGATATAGTCCGTCCTTAAGCATTCCTTGCAATAAGATCTTCTTCGTCCTGAGATCCTTCACGAGACAGTAATTAGCAAAGAATTCCATGAATACTTGATTGTCATTGGTTAATTGAGAGACACTAACCAGATTTTTCTTAATAGAGAAAACATGTAATAGTTTATTTAACTCAAGTGGTTTATTATTCAATACAGGAATAATACCTTTTCCAAAATGAGCAATAAGTAGCCTATCACCATTACCAACTATCAGTTTTTCTTTGCCATCATATTTTTTCACAGTATTTAAGTTACCTTTGTCTGATGTCACATGGTTACTCGCACCAGAATCAATAAACCAGGCTGGATCTTCGAGTGTGTTTGGTGCTGCTGCATAGGTTGATGATGTTGGACTGAAGTTCTACTATCCAGGGTTATTAATTTTGCCTCCCATATACCTCTCATCATACCTGTTGTAGCACCAGCATGCAGAATGGTTACTTAAACCACAGATTTGGCAGGGTCCTCTGGTTTCATTCTGTCTTCCAGTTGTGCTTCTGCCTTTGCCCCTTGATCTACCTCTAAAACTTGAGAATTTGCCACTACTGGTTCTTCTAAAACCTCTGTCGAAGCCTGAACCAGTTCGATGTGCTAATTGGACACTTGATTGATTAACACTCAATGAGGTAAAGTTGTTTCTCACTTGATTCAAGTGTTCTAGTCGACTCTCAAAGGTCATGAGTACTGATGAAATTTCATACCAGGAGATGGTTTCTCTACTAGTTATCTGCACGACTATAGGTGTATATTCTTCATCAAGGCCTGATAGAACTTGCGTAATAAGATCGCCTTGATCAATAACCTTTCCTGCTATCTCCAGGTTATCAGAAAGCTGCTTCACAGTAGTTAAGTATTGATCCATTGTCATGGATCCTTTCCTGATTCTTTGCAACTCACCAGTCAGGAACATCACAAGTGATCTATTCAATATGCCAAAGCTTTCTTTCACTGCTAACCAGAGTTTGTTTGACGTGCTACATCCCATGACTTTCATGGCAATTTCTGGTGTCATGGATGAATAAATCCATCCCATAAGCAGCTGATCGGCTAAGTTCCACTACAAAAATTCTGGGTTCTGTGTCATCTCAACTGCTCCTTCCTGATCGTTTGTAGTTTGGGTAGCAAGAAATTCAGGTGGACACTCCTTTGTCCCCAATAGATATCCCTCAAGATTATGCCCTTTGATAATGGGCATAACTATGTTTTTCCACAATAGGAAATTGTTTTTATCAAGCTTTACTGAGGAGGTCTGGGTAATATTCATCCCATATGTTATGCTTTGGCTGGCTGCTATATGAATTGCTGGAGCTGTATTGAACTCAGATTGACTGCCGGAGCCGGTGTTGGCCATGTTGGCTCTGATACCAAGTTAAAATTCTGAAGGAAATGAATCTAATCAGTTGATTATTTCATGGCCAATGGACCGTATTATATACATGAAGTTAGCTGCAAGGAATATTCTAGAAGTGAGTAAGCAAGAAACTAATTTAACAGCCTCTACCAGCTGGCAAAACAAAATGGATTCTAATCCCTAAAAATCAGGAAATGCAATTGTGCTAATGTCCTTTTCCTTCAACTCGTAAGCTGGCTGGGAAACAATTCTAACTTGGGAAGACCTAATAAATCAACTCAAAAGGGCAGTGTAAATTTGCAGCATAGGAAATAGACTTAATTGCAGCTCAGACATTTAATCCCAGCCTATAGATTAGCATAGGATCTGACAGACAAAGTACCATAGCAGAATGTAAAAATATTTCCCTTCTAGCATCAATGTAACATGATTAAGTATTCAGGAACTAATTTTTGGAGCTGGATCAAAAGATTATGCACAATGTGGAAAAAGAGCCAGTTCAGATTGCTTTCACAGAGTTATCAATAATTTTAAAGTAGTCTTCAGTAAAAGATATTAAGTAAATAGAATGATGTCCATATTGTGCACCTAGTAGATGGAAAAGAAAATATTTAGAAATATCCAAAAAAATAAAAAGAGTTCTATTCTTATTTTACTTTTCGTGAACTGGATACCTTTGCACGCCGAACAGACTCGGCGGCGGAATCCCTTTCGCGAAAGAGTTAGGTTACCAGCGCTTCCCTTATATCTCCGATCGAGTAGCAGATCAATCAATCTTTCGTTTCTACCCTCTTGTGTGTGAGCTTGCCCGGTGCTCTTCACCATATGTCTTGAAGTCAGGGTTACCTGCATCCTCCGAGCATCTGCAGCCTTTGACTGCTGATCGGGACTTATGTAATCAAGGAGATCTGATACACTGCACCAGAAGGTAAAAAGGTTTTGGTTTGTCAGGGTGTGTATAATGTTCAAAACCAAGCAGATATCTAAGTGCAACATGAACATTTCCCATGCCTTCTTCCATCATAGCCACATTTATGTATGTAGCGGCAGTGTTCAGATGAGAGAGACCACATGTAAAATGAAGAAGATATAATACACGACTGACATATCTACTAAAGGTAATAAATAAATATGATTAAGAACGAAATAAAATTTTAGCCACAATGAGTGACTGTGTAGCAAAGTTGGAAGTAAATGTGAGAAAATATGGAGAAATTGAAAATAGATCTACATTAGAAGAGAAATCTAAACTAAAAGTGGTAGAAAAAGTGAATCACAAGATTCCCCTCTCAAATCTATGTCCTTTGAGTTTTGAAAATCATAACATGTTTTAGAATCTTCAAGATCAAGGAAAACAATAATTGA